TAGTATACTTTTTATACATTGCTATATCAGATTTACTAATCTTTTGTTGAGGGTTTTGGCATCTTTTTCTTAATGAATTGATAAGTAGTTTCCTTACATCTCTGGTGATATCAGAGTATTGTGTTTTATAAAATTAGTTTACACTGTACCCTCCTCTTTCATTTCTTAGAAGCGATTGTAAAGAACAGGCATCATTTTTCTTAGATGTTTGGTACAATTTGCTGGCAAATCCATCTAGGCCTGGGTTTTGTTAGATTTTAAATTATGAATTCAATATTTGAATAAATATGGGATGATTTACTTCATATAGTTATTGGACACTTTTGGTAGCATGTAGATTTTTAAGGAATTTGACTATATCCAGTCATGTGATGTTTGAGCATAGAGCTGTACTATATTCTATTATTATTTTTAATGGGTAGAATGATAGCCTCTTTCATTCTTGATATTGGTAAGATGGTTTATATTTGCCCAGACATTTGTTGTTCATTAACTTTCATTCATGAAGTTCCATGACGCTCCAACCCTCCACCTGTCCCCTCTGGGTATTGGAGATTAAATAATCCCCAGCCCTTTTTGAAACATGAAGTTGCTGAGGATTATCTTAAACTTTCGATCCTCCTGCCTTGGCATCCCCAGGGTGTCTCCCACCACATTAGGCTCCACAGCATTTTTGAGACAGGGTTTTGCTATTTTGCTTAGTGTCCCACTAAGTTGTTGAGGCTAGCCTCAAACTTATTATCCTTCTTCCTAACAGCCCCAGACTTATAGGAGTGTGCCAATGCATCCTGCTAATTCCATCATTCTTTCTAGTATTATTTCTCTTTTTTCTAAAGAACTTCATTTAGTAATTTCTTTTATAACAGGCCTATAGACAACAAATTTTCTTCGTCACTCTTCACCAGAGTGTGCCTTCATTTTGCCCTCATTCCAGTTTTTTTTTTTCTTCTCCTAGCACTCAAAAAGATTTAGAACTATCATCTTTGGTTTTCATGATTTTCTACAGATAAACCCAATCATTATCATCACTGCTTCCTTAGAAAGCACCATTCTTGTCTGGCTGATTTTAAGATCTCAATCTTTGGTTTCAAATAATTTGGTTTTGATGTGTGTAGGCCTTGGTTTATTTAAATTTTATTTCATTTTATTTGTAACTTTTTTATCCTCTTTGGTATTCACTGAGCTTCTTACATCTAAAAATTCATGTCTTTCACTAAATTTGGAACCTTGTAGCAAGTATTTCTTGAAGTATTTGTTCTTTACTAATCTCTGTTCCTTCTAGAATTTAAAACAATATGTTAGGCTTAGTGAAATTGTCATACAGGCTTCTTAATTCGTTCTCAATATATTTTTTTTTTATTTCAGATTGGACAATTTCTAACAAGTTATCTTTTAACTGACTATCACCTCCATTCTGATAGAAATTACATATAATAAGTATTTCTAAAAACTTCAGATATATTTCTCTTTTGCTTGTATACTTCATTCTTTTATACTAGTAAAGAACTGTTTATGATATTCTCTTATGATAACCTAAAACACTTATTAACAAAAAAAGCAGACAGAATAAATTATATACCCACTTATCTCAAGTTTAACAATTATCATTTCAATCTTATTTAAACTTTATCTGTGTCTCTCCTCACTTCTGCCCCTTACCTATTAGACTAATCCCATTTAATCTATAAATAGTTCCATTATGTAGTGTTAAAGTCACTTAAAAAGTAACCTCTACACTATTATCAAATCAGCCAATTTCTTAATATCAAACACAGTGTTTGAACTTCTAATTGTCTCTTAATGTCATTAGCTCCTCCCTGCCATTTAGAATTTGTTGTACTGGTTGATCCCATATCTTGACCATTGTGAATAATGCTGCAAAAATATAAAGGTGCAATTATCTGTGTGACATACTGATTTCTCTTCCTTTGGATATGTGCTATGTAGCAGAATTGGTGGATCATATATCAAAAACTATTCTTACTTTTTTTCTGAGAAAATGTCACTGTTTCTGTAATAGTGGTAACTAATTTACATTCCCACTAATGATGTATAAAAATTCCTCTTTCTCTACTTCCTCCTCAACATTTGTTAATTTTGGTATTTTATAATGGCTATTGTAACACTAAGATATCTTACTGTAGTTTTTGATTTGCATTTTCCTGATAATTAGCGATGCTAAGCATTTTCTCATATACTTGTTGGTAATTTGTGTATCTTCTTTTGAGAAAGGTTTATTCAGATTACTTGACCATTTTTTTTTGGCTCGAGTTCCTTAAAGAGTTTTTAACCTTTGCTGTAGTTTATTTATGACGTTTTCCAATTCTGATTTTATGTGGATGTGTCTTTTTTCCTAGATTAATTTTGCCAGTGAATTGCTTATTGTTATCCTTCACAAAGAGCTAATTTTTGGTTTTGTTGATTTTTAAAGAATTTATTTCTGCTTTTAAAATCATTATCTTTCTTCAGATTTGTCATTTTTAAGTCTTCAGTTGAATCTTAGCTCATTAAATTTCAAGCTTTTTTCCTTCTAATGGAAGTGTGTATGGTCTTAAAAGTTCTCAAAATACTGGTGTATGGCTGCATCCTACAACTTTTTTTTTTTAATAAATGGACACAATACCTTTGTTTATCTTTTATGTGGTGCTGAGCATCGAACCCAGTGCCTCACACATGCTAGGCAAGCATGCTACCACTGAGCCCCAGCCCCCTACAACTTTTTGACATGTGGTATTTTTTTATTGAGTTTTAAATGTTTTCAGATTTCTATCCTGATTTCTTCTGATCTATGAATAAGTAGAATATTATTCAGTTTCCAAATATATGAACAAATTGCCAAATATATAATGTTGTAAAGTAATTTCCTGGTTGCCGATTCCTAGTTTAATTGTATTTTTTTTCAAAGAAAGCTCTGCATAATCCCAAGCACTGGTGTATGTTCAAATTTCCTTTATTAGCCAACTCTATAGACTAGTTTTGATAAATGTTTCACACGTAGAGAATGAATGTTCTCTGGATGTTCTGTGCAAGATACATGTCGATTAGGTATACTTGTGTTGTTTAAATCTTTTGAGCCTTAATAACTTTTTATACATTTGGTCAATTAATCATTAAGAAGAAAAAAATGTTCCCATTGTAACTTTGGATTTTTTACTTTTCCCCTGAAAATGATGAATCTGTAGCTTAAACATTCTGAGGCTACATTAATTTGTAATAATTTTACATTATTTTAACTTTGTGAATTGGTAACCTTCTTGATTTTTATTTTTATAGTTCCATCCATTCTCTTTTGGTATTTGCCTGTTATTTTTTAATTTCCATCTTCAAAATTTCCTGTAAGCAGGATATGTTTGGATTTTAACTATAGCATTTGCTTCATTTATTATTTTTGCCTAGAATTACCTCAATATTGCCCTCATTTTTGAATCATAAAATTTAATATGGAAATGGAGGTTGTCAGTCATTATTTTTCCTCTCAAAATTTTGAAGATATTATTCTATTGTTGTTGAGCTTCTGTTTTGCTATCGATGGTGCTAGTGACAATCTAAATAGCATCCTTTTGGAGACAACCTGATTGTTTTGTCTACTCTTATCTCAAGGGTAGGTCGTGAGCATAGGTGTTTTCTTTTGGATGTGTGACATTATCATTCATAAGATGGTGGTTTATGAATGGCAACTCTGTAGCCTTATTGGTTATTCTGGACTTATTTTTTGCTAGATGCCTCAAAAGGTTTTATGAGCCTAGGACCATTTTGTTAATTTGGGGGCTCCATGGTTCCTGGATTGAGCAGGGAATGTAAACTCATATCCCAAAACCAAAGACATATTTCTAGTGAGAGTCCTAGGGGCACCCAGCCTTACCTCCAACCCCATTCTAAGAACAAGCCCATAAAAATACATTCTTTGTCACTGACATGTGCCAGTAGATATATTTTTAATTAAAACAATTTTTAGAGTTGTATATGAACAAAAACCTTTATTTTGTTTATTTATTTTTATGTTGTGCTGAGGATTGAAACCAGTGCCTCACACATGTAAGTAAGCACTCAATTGTTGAGCCACAACCCCAGCCCCAGTAGATATATTTTTTTAAATTTACCCTTTCACATCAGTCATCTCCCTCTAAGGGTTCTAGTTCTAAGCTACTTAGGGCCTCACTAACTTGCTGAGGTTGGCTTTGAACTTGCAATTCCCCTGCCTCAGCCTTCCCAGCCATTGTGATTAGAGGCGTGCATCACCATGCCCAGCTATAAATCTGATTTTCATAATTCTTTTAAAGGTATGTTCTCCCACCCCGTCTCTCTTCATAAACATATATTAAATCTAATTTTTGACTCTGTTGATATTCCTTAATTAGCAATCAATCTCAACCTGTTAGAGTTATTTACAACATTCTTCTCTGAGGTACTTCTAAATGAAAGCTCTACATAGTTAGTAGAGGACAGTTGATGTGTTAAGAACACAGAATTCAACATATTTTACACTGGTTAGTATAACCAATTCTGAGACCTCCAAGAAGACTCTAACCTCCTGCAGCCTAATTTTCTTACCCAAACAAAATATTTTTAATGATTTAAACTGATCAATATTTGTACTCACCATTAGGAACATACAGATTTTAAGCTCTTTTTTTTTTTTAAAATGAGGTCTTGCTATATTGCCTGGGCTGGACTTGCTATCCTCCTGTCTCAACCTTCACGGTAGGTGGGAATAAAGATATACGACACCAAATCCAACTAGATTTTTAGAATCTTAGACTTTTAAAATTAAGAACCTTAATGTATCTGTAAACTTCCTGAAATTTATATTTGTTTATTTAACTCTAACAGTGCTGGTGTCCAATAAAGTAAGTGAAGTAAAATTAAAGTTTTTTTTTTTAAAGTTGTAGTGTTATAGTATCAGTTTATATAATCAACAAATATTTGCATGAACAAAAGCAACAATTTATACAAATCACATCTTATGTTCTTCCCTGAAGTGACTCAATACATAATAATACCTTAGCTTTTGGAGTAGCTTTAATTGTCCATATGCAATCAACTGCTTGGCCAGGTTTTGTTTTTTCTTCTTGTTCTACCTGACTAGAACGTACTATTCCATCTGCTCCTGAGAGCTCGAACTGGCAATCTAGAGAGAATAAATGAATGACGTTCAAAGGAAAACAAGACTGATCAAAAATGCCATGGGGAAAAAGAGGTAATATACTAAACCTGGGATGGGATTTAAAATACCTCCTAGGTAAGTAAAGTCTGGATCTGTAACAGAAAAAAGAAGAAAGTTATTCGTATTGAATTACTTTAAGGCTTAAATATTAGTTTACCTCAACAGTCCATTTATGAACTCACTTACAGAATCAATATTTATTTAATGATGATGTTCATATTTTTGATCCCATCATGAATTAATAACTTATGCTGCTTGAAAACTCACATAAATTACCAAAAGTAGTAGTCTGTTGACCAATGAAGGAATAAACAAAATGTGGTAACACAAGGGAATATTAGTGCAACCTTTAAAAATAAATGAAAGTTATTTTGGCTGAATCACATTAAAATTTGTCTTATTTTTTTGCATAGTAAGAGTAGTGGCGATAGTTGCAAAACATTGTGAATGTACATAATGCCACCAAATTGGAGATTTATGAATGGTTAAAGAGTAAATTTTATGCTATGTACATTTTACCACAAGAAATTTTTAAAAATTACAGACAAGGGTTTCTTTAAATACTACCTTAAAGTTCAGATATGACCTGCATTCACCAAAATACTAGAATAAAAAAAAACTGCTGGAGAGTCAAAAATGTCTCAGAATCCTTATCTTGGAAAACCTATTTCATACATAGTTTATTTTATGTAATGGTATGCTCAATTCTTGTTAAAACTGTCTTTAATTTATTAAACTACAAATTGGAAAAAAGTGGAAATAAATTAGGAGCTTTATTCAGAATACGTCCCAGGGACTGTCCTTTTTAAACTTAAACTCATCCTTGCTAAAAGGCGACAACTAATAGGACACTACAGCCCTTTTGCAGAAAAATGTCAAAAGTAAATTTAAATCTTAAGTGGTACTGGGTGAAAAAGTCAGGAGCTAACTGGCAAGTTAATCAGAATTTTTCATATGAAGGAAAGAATTTTAAGGTTTTATCCTTATTGTTTTAAAATTCTCACAATTATCTAGTTAAATCCAGGAAGTAATACTGATTGAGAGCCTCTATCTTAACATTAGAGAATTTCATTAAAAGACAATTTCTTACAACTGTTAATAATTTTCTTTTAGATTTACCACTCCCTAGACAAAATTTATTTTATATTATAGGGGTAGAAAAGATGGTGGAATGAGATGAACATCATTACCCTTAATTGCATGAATGGGGCGTCTCTACATCATGTACAACTAGAGAATCAAAATGTCGTGCTCCATTTGTGTATGATGAATTGAAATGCATTCTATCATGTACAATTAAGTGGAACAAATAAAAATGATAATAAAATAATAACAAAAAATTTATTTTATAAACATGACTTTTAATAACAGCAAATATAGCCACATTTTAGCAAATTAGGCATTGCCTACTTATTTTGACAAGGAACATCTTCCTTTCATCTAACAATGAAACTGCAGAATCTTTACTTATATCACAAAGGCAACAAAAAAAGAAAAAGTTGCTTAGAGAATTAGAATTTAGTCCTGGATTTAAAAAAAAATTTTTTTTTTAGTTGTTGATGGACCTTTATTTTATTCATTTATTTATATGTAGTGCTGAGAATCAAACCCAGTGCCTCACACATGCTAGGCAAATGCTCTACCACTGAGCCACAACCCCAGCTCCTACTCTTATATTTGCCACCTACAAGAAAATCTTCATCTCTAAGTTTCCTCATCTATAAAATAGGATCTATAAAACACAATCTTCCTGACATTATTGTCATTTGAATAAAATTAAATATAATGTCTGTAGAAACTCTGAAGCACCATAAAGAGCAAATGAAAGGTCAAAAAAATCTAAAAATCCTATGAATTTCATAATTTGTCTATATTTTAACTATAATCCATATAAAGCTTCTCTAATAATATATAAAAATAGAGGAAAAAGAGCTTCTTTTGTCCAAATTAAGCATCTTAATATACAAGGTAATTCTTTTAAAAATATCTTAAAACATTACTCAAATAAGAGTAGTGTTTTTGCTACTGATAAATCATATGTAAGATTATTTTTATAATAGTGTCTTCAGTTAATAGAAATCAAATACCTGACCAATTTTTAACTAAGCCAGCTTTTATAATTTTTTCGGGCACTGGAACCCAGTGTTTTGGTAGACCAAGTGCTCTAACACTGAGCTATACCCCCAGCACTTTCTAAAACTATATTTTGAGTCTGGGTCTTCCTAAGTTGCCAAGGTTGGCCTTTAACTTGTGTAATTACCACCACTCTTCATTTCCAGAACTTTTCCTTATCATCCCAAGCTGGAAGTCTATATCCATAAAACACTAATTCCTCATTCTACCCTTCTTAAGTCAATGGCAATTAAATTCTACTTTCTGTTTGTATGAATGTGACCACTTTAGATATGTTACATAAGTGAACCCACATAGCACTGATCCTTTTGTTTCTGGCTAATTTTATTTTTAGCATGTATCAAGTTTTATCCATGCTGTAATATATATCACAGTTTACCCAAACCAGTTAACTTACATCCTCACAAAAACCTACACATGATGTTTACAGCAGTTTTACTCCCAACTACTAAAACTTGGAAGCAATCAAAACATCCTTTAATAGAATGGATAAACTGTGGTACATCTGATAATAAAGTTTCATTCAGTGCTAAAAAAAAAAAAATGAAAGAAAGAGCAGTCAAGCCATAAACAGACATGGAGGAACCTTATGTGCATATGGCTCAATGAGCAAAAAGCCAATCTGAAAAGGTCACATACTTATGATTTCAATTCTATGTGGCATTCTGGAAAGGACAAAACTATGGAGATAGTAAAGAGATCACTATATGCCAGTGGTATAGGGGGAAAGAAGAATGAATAGGAGGACCCCCATGGAATTTTTAGGGCAATGAACCTGTTCTGTATACTACTATAATATACATGTCAATATACATTTGTCAAAACTCATAGAACATACAAAACCAAGAATGAACTCTAAATTATGATTTTGGATGATAATGACGTGTCAATGTTGGTTCATTGATTTTAACAAATGAACCACTCTGCTGCAAAGTGGTAATGAGAGGCAAGAGGTGTATGATATATACTTCCTACCCAATTTCTGCTATGAACCTAAAACTATTCTTAAAAAAATTAAGATTATAAGACAAATTTTACTTTTTTTGAATGTTGTCATTTTAGCAGTAGGCAAATAAATATTAAGGCAAAACTTTAAAATTTCCATAACATTTACTGACATAAGTTATTTTTATTTTTTGGGCAAACAAATAATGTTCTGACTGTTGTCACAGCATTCTTAGGAACCAGAGGTAGGTAAGACCCTATAATAGGTTGGACAGTGCCCCTTCCCAATACATCTACATCAGAATCCCCATAACCTGTATAACCTTATATTTTTTAAAAAGCAAATATTACAAGATGAAAGATATAATTAAGATTTTAAGAGGAGAAAGAGATGTGAAGATGGAGATCGAGATTGGAGCAATATGGGTATGATACCAGAAGTGTTGGAGCAGCTACCAAAAGCTAGAAGAGACAAAGAATAGATTTTCCCCTAGAGTTCCTAGATGGAGTAAGGTCTTGGTAGATTGAACTTTTGATCTCCAAACTATGAGGATATATATTTATTGTTTAAGTGTCCAAATTTGTAGTGATTAATTATGTCAGTCTCAGGAAACTAATACAGTAGGAATTACCCCTTTCACCAATGGCAAATATCAGGTACAACTCTGTGTTTAGGTCTTACAGCTATTAGGTGACAGAAAAAAGACTCAAACCCAGATCTTTTACCTACAAGTGCAGAACAGTATTTTTTCTATTGCTCATTATTTTCAAGAGCATTTATTCAAATGAGTGGCTAAGTCAAATCAGTCCAATAAAAAACCTGCCAAAATTTTTGTGGGGATTGTGAAAACCAAACAATATGTTGAAATTATTTAAAAATACATTTATTTTGATATTGTGGACCTTAAGTATGTGTTTTATAAAACACAAGAAAAATAAGAAAATGTGATATCATCTGTATTATGCCTCAAAATTCAAATGATATGGTTCTAGTTCCAAGTTTTATTAAGGTTTATTTGTTCATAGACTAATTTCCTTTTCACCTTGAGAATCCCTTTAAAGTCTTGATCTTATTAACTTGACCAAATTATCTCTTTTCTAGCCTTAGGATTCTGCAATCAGGGTGAGATACTCAACCACTGAAAAGATTATTCTTTACCTGGAATAAATGAGTATTTTGCTCGAAATCCCAGTCCTTCAAGTTCTTCATCAGAACTAAACTTAATCCACATGAATCTCCCTGTTGACCTGATTAATGGAGGGCTTTTCATGCCACAGTAGCGATCTATAAGAGGAGAGAAACCAAATGGCCCATCTCGAACTTCCAAGTGATCAAACCGACATTCAAATGATGGCTCTATATAATAATGTTCATCAAAGGTCAACTCTATTCTTTGACGTGGAGCAGCTATAAAACAAAAGCAAGCAAATCAGGGCAACAGAAATGGAAATATATAAATGTACAAACAAATGAGAAAAACAGAACAATCACTCTAATGCTTCATAGATAAGGATCATAATGAGAATTTTTATAAGTCACAATAAATGTCATATTTTACAATACTAATAATGTACTCTATAGAACTATTGTAACCTTTTCTTTGGCAAATGCTGTTTATTAAATTAAATGTATATGACTGATTAAAATTGAAGCTTCGAAAAGTTATTGGTTACTTATTTCATGAGATAAAATGTATCATGACACACAAAAGAATAAGCAGAAGAAATGAAGGGAATTCACTAATTTGGACATAAATTTGCATGAAGACTAATAAAAAATGCCAGTAAGTTTAGGTTTTTATCAGAGGAATTTCTCATACGTACTGATGCACTTAACTGAATCATAATTTAGGAGATTCAAAATTCTCATGAAATTTCAATTATCATTTTGTTAATGTATTCAATATTTAGAAATATTAATCATTACTAGAGTTTAATTCAAATATAAATTTTGTTCAAACTAGCTTAAACATGGTATTTTTACCAATGCAGTTAATTTTGCAACAAAGTAGAAAATTCATCCAATAAAAAAATTGGTCAAATACCTTCCAAAATGTAGATACACTCCTTGTTTGGTGGATATGACTCAGGATAATTTGGTGAAGCAAAGTGACCTCCGTTACTGGTTCGAACCCAAATGCCACACTGGGTTATAGGAATGTGTTTGATTCCAATATTTTGTCCATCTTAGGGAAAAATAGCATTTAAACATAATTATAGTAAAGCAGAATAGCATTTTTCTTTTTCCCCAACAACTTTCCAAACAATTGCCCACTCTGTAATATATATATAAAATTTTGTAAGAACCACTGCCAAATTTAGTTCAACAAACTGAGCACAGAACGAAGTAAGATTGTGTATGCTGTGCTTGCTAGAGGAACTTTGTGCTGGAGGATAAGTTTGCCATGTAGAGAATATAGAAAAACCATATAAGAGAATCTGATAAATCAGTAAAATTTAATAAAATTCAGTTCTGACATAAAAATAAAAGGATCTATGGAGTTATCTCTGGCATCCTTGTATTTAGTTTAACACAAAAGTCAAATAATATTCAAAGATTACAGAAAGATTTTAAAGACTGTAGTTGAACACAAGTATTCAGTTCTGCTGCCTCCTCAAGTTCCACTTAAAAATCAGTAAAAGGATTTTTTTTTTAAGGGCATAAACTTGTAAGTACAAGGAGGTAGATACAAAAGAAATAACTGGTAGTTCTAGAAGTAGAGTGAGGAGTTATGTGAAACTGGTAATTTTAATAATATGACGATGTTTTTATATACATAGTCTGTATATGAATTGTTTCATATACTTTAGCTTCTCCACAAATCTAGGCAGCTGCTGCTCATATATTATTTCTTTGGAGAAGGTAAAACAGAGTTAATGGAATAGGAGACCTCAGGTGTAGCTGAGGATAAAAATGCCCATGGACTGATTAGTGAGTGCTAACACACTGAATGACACTCCCGGGCTTCTTCTACTGGGCTCACCAAAGGCCTCAGTGAGTTATGGAGTCTCTAAATGGGAAATGCAAAGATTCTTTCCTGGGAAATCTAATCATTCCTAAAGATTCAATGATGCAGACCTAGGAGATACCCAATGTAAGGGCATTCCACAGTGAGGGCCACAGCAGATAATCCTTACTTACACCTGCAGACTGCTAATGAGCAGTTTTTCAGTGCCCCTCTTAAAATCTGAACAGATGTTCAGTAATCACTGAATATTTAGAGCCACTAATTTGAAAATCAGACCCAAACAAAGAGAGAAAAAGCAACTCTAAGGAAACAAAGACTGTAAGAAAAATATTTTTTTAAAAGACAGTAACAACATAAAACTTTAATCTGAGAAAGAGAAAAGCAAATACATAAATAAAACAAGAACAAGGACATTCTTTTAAAAAGCATATGTATAAAACAAGAATGCATCCAAAAACAGAAGAAATGAAAATATTAGAAAAAGTTTTGGGCCAATCTGACCTCTGCCTGTGGTTGTGCATAAAGTCTTACTGAATAAATGCATGCCCATCATGTATATGTATTGTCTGTGGCTACTTTCACACCAACAGCAGAGCTGAGTAGGTGTGCCAGAGACTGTATGGTCTTAAATACTTATTATCTGAATGTTTACAGAAAAAGTTTCCTAATTCCTGGTCTACAGAATAAGCCGAGGAAGTCACCCAGTACAGGGAACAAAAAGACAGATGGAAAACAAACAAACAAACAAACAACAATAGAGCCATAACTAAATAATGGCATTCCTAAAGAGAGAGAACGGAGAAAATGGAGGGAGGAGAGAGATTTTGAAAAATTTAACAAAACCCCCAAATTTCCAAAACCAAATGCAAAATTCATATTGAAAAAACTTGATGAGTAACTTAATATAAACCCTAACCAGAATATAACTATATTGAGAAGGGTGGTAAAAATGGAAGAGAACATTGTGGATGGGGGTGAACAGTAGGTGTGTCAAAGAGCTAAATTATTCACCTTCCATGGTGAGAAATCAGTATCAGATGTTTAAAACTGAAATAATCAAGAAATAGAAGAACAGCATGTTACTTAAAGATATGAGAGAAAATTCCAAACAATCAGTTTAAAAAAGTAGTTATTTATATTGAGCAAGAAGGTGGTTGGGGTAGGCTAGGAGGAGGACTGGTTCTTTTCCTATTTAGTACACTTGGATTTTTATCATGTACATGTATAACTGACAAAAATAAAGAACAATTAGGGTTATAAGGAAATGTACCCAACTATGACATGAAATTCTGGCTCAAAAAACACACTAATCTTTTTTTCTACATCAGGATACTTAGAATAGGACCAAAGAGCTTCAAATAAGGTGAAATGAGAAATGTTTCATTTGTTTTCACTGGAACAAGGGAGTTTTTATTTTTGCTTAGTGATAAAGTATAAATATTACTAAATATTTTACACATAATCCAGTGTGCTAGGAACTAGTGGTGATGCCAAAATTTTTTAATTTACCAGGAGAAGGTTTTTGATGATGATTTAGCCTAGTTAACAAGTTACATCCAGTTAAATGAGGCTGATAGGTTGACAGAAAGCCTTAGGTTATTGGAATATGCAGAAGGATTATAGAAATAGTACTCAAATTTTTTTTTTCAGTCCTTTCAATTAAGCCATCCCACTGTTCTGGACAAGTAGTAAGTTATCATTGTAAGTACTTTACCTTGGGTCTTTTGGGCCACAGCGATCCCTTCCACTACAAGTATTGTTATCAATAACACTAGAGAAATAACAGAAAAGTAAAGTTAAAAAATTGCATTTTTATGACAATTTACTAAGTCTACAAGGAGTATCAGATGATAATAAAAGATTAACTCACTATTTCTTACTAACAATGTTCACTCTCAAGATTTTAAAGTGTTAAGTGTTATGTTCTGATTTATATGTGACCCTTAAGACAACCTAAGAAAAGATAAAACTGATTTTTATAATCATTTATTCAAGCACTAATAGATGTCATTTATTTTTCAACTTGGTATTTAAAAAAATAATTTAAAAACCTCAAAGCCCTAGAAAAATCAGAACAAATTAACACCAGAAGTAGTAGAAGACAGGAAGGAAATAATTAAAATCAGAGCTGAAATCAATGAAATTGAAAAATGAAACAGCTGAAAAAACTGACAAAATGGAAAGTTGTTTCTTTGAAAAAAACAAATAAAACTGATAAACACATAGCCACATTAAGGAAGAGAAGGAGAGAGAAAAGAGAGAAAACTCAAATTACTAAAATCCATGATGAAAGAGGAAATATCACACAGACTCTACAGAAATACAGAAGATAATTAGAAACTATTTTTTGAAAATTTGTACTCCAATAAAATAGAAAACATCGCAGGCATGGACAAATTTCTAGAGTCATATGATTTACCCAAATTGAATCAGGATGACATACACAAATTAAACAGATCAATTTCAAGAAATGAAATGGAAGATACCATCAAAAGCCTACTAACCAAGAAAACCCCAGGACCAGACAAATTCACAGCTGAGTTCTACAAGACCTTCAAAGAAGAATACCAATGCTCCTCAAATTATTCCATGAAATAGAAAAAGAAGGAAGATTTCCAAACTCATTCTATGAGGTCAATATCACTCTGATTCCAAAATCAGACAAAGACACATCAAGGACAGAACAATATCTTCACACCAATATCTCTAATGAACATAGATGCAAATATTCTCAATAAAGTTCTGGCAAATTGAATACAAAAACACATTAAAAGATAGTAAAACATAATCAAGTTGGGTTTCATCCCAGGGATGCAAGGTTGGTTCAACATATGAAAAACAATAAATGTAATTCATCACATCAATAGATTTAAAGATAAGAATCATATGATCATGTCAATAGATGCATAAAAAGCATTTGACAAAATACTGCGCCTCTTCATATTCAAAACACTAGAAAAATTAGGGATAAAAGGAACATACTTCAACATTGTAAAAGCTGTATATGCTGAGCCCCAGGCCAACATCATTCTAAACGGACAAAAATTGAAAGCATTCTCTTTAAAAACAGGAACAAGACAAGGATGCCCTCTTTCACCACTTCTATTTAACATAGTTCTTGAAACTCTAGCCAGAGCAATTAGACAGGTGAAAGAAATTAAAGGGATATACACAGGAAAAGAAGAACTCAAACTATCACTATTTGCTGACAACAGGATTCTATACTTAAGAGGATCCAAAAAATTCTACCAGAAAACTTCTAGAACTAATAAATGAATTCAGCAAAGTAGCTGGACATAAAATCAACACCCATAAATCAAACGCATTTCTGTACAGCAGTGATGAATCCTCTGAAGAGAAATTAGGAAAACTATCCGCTTAACAATAGCCTTAGGGGGGAAAAATACTTGGGAATCAACTTAGTGAAAGAAGTAAAAGATCTCTACAATGAAAACTACAGAACACTAAAAAAGAAATTAGAGAAGTCCTTAGAAGATGGAAAGATCTCATACTAGACAAAGATCTCCCTTGTTCTAGGATAGGCAGAATTAATAATTGTCAAAATGACCATACTACCAAAAATACTATACAGGTTTAATGCAATTCCAATCAAAATCCCAATGACATTCCTCATAGAAATAGAAAAAGCAATTATAAAATTCATCTGGAAAAATAAGAGACCCAGAATAGCCAAAGTAATCTTTAGCAAAAAGAATGAAACAGGTGGCATCACAATACCAGACCTTAAACTACACTACAGAGCAATAGTAACAAAAACAACATGGTATCGGCACCAAAATACACTTGTAGACCAATGATCCAGAATAGAGGACACAGAGACAAACCCACATAAATACAGTTATCTCATACCTACACAAAGGCGCCAAAAACATATTGGAGAAAAGATAGCCTCTTCAACAAATGGTGCTGGGAAAACTGGAAATCCACATGCAGAAACATGAAATTAAGCCCGTATCTCTCACTCAAAGTGCAATAAGGACCAAGGAATTAGACCAGAGACCCTGTGCCTAACAGAAGTAGGCACAAATCTTCATCATGTCAGATTAGGTCCCAACTTCCAAAACAGGTCTGGGAATGGGATGGATTCAAATTGAAAAGCTTATTCTCAGCAAAAGAAACAATCAGTGAAGAGAGAGCCTACAGAATGGGAGCAACTTTTTATCACACACACCCTCAGTCAGAGCAATAATCTCCAGGATAAAGAACTCAAAAAACATGAAAAGAACGAAATAACCCAATCAATAAATAGGCTAAGAAACTGAACAGACACTTCTCAGAAGAAGATAAACAGGCAATCAACAAACATATAAAAAAAATGTTCAACATCTCTAGTAATTAGAGAAATGTAAATCAAAACTAATCAAACATTGCTGGTGGCACTGCAGATTGGTGCAACTACTATCAAAAGCAGTAAGGAGATTCCTTAGAAAACTTGAAATGGACCCACCATTTGACCTAACTATCCCACTCCTTGGTTTATAAGCAAAGGACCCAAAAACAGCATACTGCAGGGATGCAGCCACATTAATGTTTATAGCACCACAATTCACAATAGCTAAATTGTGGAACCAATCTAGATGTTCTTCAACATAGGGATAGATTAAAAAAAAAAACAACCTGTGGTATATATGCAAAATGGATTATTACTCAGAATTAAAAGAGAATAAGTTCATGGCATTTGCAGGTAAATGGATGGAGTTGGCTAAGTGAAGTAAGCCAACTCCCGAAAACCAAAGGCCAAATGTTTTCTCTGAAAAGTGGATGCTGGTCCATAGTGGGGGTGGGGTGAGGAGCATGGGAGGAATGGAGGAACTGTGGATAGGGTAAAGGGGAGGGAGGGCAAGGAAGGGGGCAAAGGGGTAGGAAAGATAGTAGATTGAGATGGACATCATTACATGTATGTAGACATCAATGATGTGACTCTACTTTGCGTACAACCAGAGAAATGAAAAGCTGTGCTCCATTTGTGTACTATGAATCGAAATGCATTCTGCTGTCATGTGTAACAAATTAGAACAAATAAATAAATAAACTAATTAAAAACCCCCACAATTTTGTGTTTAGAGACAACTATTCCTTTGTTGATCCTAACTATTCTTCCATTTACTGTATATTATCTCAGAGTTTAAATGTAATGTGCTATGCCAATGAAAGTTCACTTAGATTATCTGACTTATAAGGACATTTATAATACAGAATTAAGTGGGCAGTAGTCTCTAGAAATCAATTTAAACTGTTTTATAGTTGTGCATTACTATGCTATGTTTGTTACACAAAAGCTGGACATACTTATAAACCATCCCAACCCCAAGCTGAACACTTCTGTGACCCAATAAGCAATACATGGAATTTGAAGATATTGAAAACATTTTATCTTCATGAATGGTGCACTTTCCCTTTCACTGAAGATGATACTACCAGCCTGCCACAAACTACTGTGTGAATTGGAGTTATATTCAGTCAATAAGCTTGTATAGAGAGTACCTACTGAAGAGCAGACACTGAGGAATCAAAAGTGTGAAGAGAGAAAACAGCAAAATGGCTAAGAGTAAGGGCTTTAGACAATACATCGATTTAGGGTGCGTTGGACCAGTTGTGAGGCCTTATTTATAAAACTGGGATGATGTATAGTATTGTAACACCAACTTTACTGGTGGCTGTGAAGATTAAATAAGATGTGCAGATCTTCTGTGCCAGGCATTCTGCTAAATAAATAATAGATATTAGAACAAATTAGCATCTGCACGGAGTCAATCATTGTCAAAGGCAATCTACAAGGTGAAAAGGGATTTAACAGGAGGTAGACAGCATAACAGAAGCACAGAGAGGGGAACCATTCATTCCAGTGGGGACTAAGAGAAATCAATGAGGAAAACTTCAGAAAAAGAAGGTACATTCTAGTTGGACCTTATGGGACTTGAGCCCAAAGAAAGAAATGGCTTAATTTAAAACAGAGGCATGAGTCTGATTGGGTGTTAGGGAGCTCTGAGCAGTATAATACTGTTAGCATGTGAAAGGAAATGACGGTATGTAGCAGGGTAGAAAAAAGTAGGATGATATCTGGTTATAAAAACCTTGAATGCTATGCTAAAAAGTTTTCGACTTTTGATTATAATTAGAAACCATGGTAGGTTTTTAAAGTAGTGAGTGACATCATAATATCTGACTTTCAGACTAACAATCCTGATGGCTGTGTGGAGTCTGAACTTATGAAAAGAAATGATTTAGGAAGCAAACACAATATGCTGAAGCAGAGTGGTGGCAAAAGGAATAGGAAATTAATGACATTCAGATGTAGAGTCAACTGTAACTGGTAACTCACAAGATGTTAGGGGTAAGGGAAATGGAAATACTAGAGAGTTTGTCAAGTAACTGGCAGACAGTTATACCATTGCTAACTCTATAGCACATTCTAAACATCTACTAACCAAAGTAATCAATGTACAAACAGTTCTTGCCATTCAGTTTATATCTTAAAAATCTAAGTATTTGACTTCTTTGTCTTTGGTTTCTTGCATCCTTGCTGACCTTTGTCTCTGTGCAACTTTGCCCCTTTCCTTTTCTTTGGTTACTGGTAGTGTTGAAGATCTTATATTAGGTAGAAACAATCCTTCCTTCAAACTCTTCACATCTGTATACTGTAATTGAGTAAGAGGAATGGGATCTTGAAACATTTTTTTAAACAAGATTTATGATAAAAAAAATCCAGAGTAATATATATTTGATAATCCAGCAAATAACACAAATATC